AAACAGGGATGCAGTGGCGGCGGCTTTCTTGGGTTGGAGGGGGGTCCGGCGGGCGCGGTTTGGGGGCGGGCTCGGCGGTTTGGGGGCTTGCTCAGCGCAGTTGCGCGCGGGCTCTCTGCGGCAACTTTGCCGCACCCGAGCGGAATCGCCCACTCACTTGGCAAACGACCGCAGCCCCCTTTTTATGGGCTTTGATTTGAAGGGTCCTGGCGGGTAAACCTTCGGGATCTCATTTTTCCGCCGGCCGGGCGCCCTCGCTTGCGACGCACTTTTGAGTTGCGTGAGGGAGCGTCGGCCCAGCGCCGCGGCCACGCCGGCGACGGCGGCGGCTGCGTTCCCTGCCCTGCCTTCCGCCGGCTGCCGGCGCGGCCAGCGTGCGCACACATAAGTGCACATAGCCACACCGTCCCGCTTCGGATGATCTTACTATCAGCGCACGCGCGCGCCTTGGGATTTTGCGCGCGTGCGGGGCGTCCACGGACCGACCCTTCTTGGAACTGCCTGGTCACGGCCCCGACCTCTTGGCTGCATTGTGGCAGGCCAGCTGCCCCTCGCCACTCAGCACTCGCGCCAGGGTTTTCCATCTGCAGGCACACGCATATGAGGCGGGCGCCGGCGCCGCGCGGGGCGCCTAAGGGCCCGGCCGCCTTTTGAGTTTCGTTCGGTTTGAGCTCGCGAGTGCGCAGCGGTCTGTTGCGGGGCTAACGCCCCGCTCGGCTCATCTTTGTGCGTCGTCTGTTCCGCAAGATTAGGGTGCTGTGACAAGCACCAGCCGGTCTGTGCCGGCGACGTGCGGCCCCGGCGCGCGCCGTGGGCTGGGGTTGCAAAGCGCCAGGCACCACCGCCAAGGCGCCCCGATTCGGGACTAGGAGCACTGGAAACTTCCTTCCTAGAGGTGGCCGGCTGCTTCCCATTGCCGACTGGTTTGGTTGGCAGCTAGAGGCTGCCCTCGTCATAGCCAGGTGTTACACGTGGTATGCACGGCGGCCAGCTGCGCAGCGCAGCGCGTGCAGTGTCGGCAGAGCCGTGCAGCGCAGCATGCAGGCAAGCCCTGCAAGACCCCAGCCGCTCGCAAATGTGCTGGGAAGCAGCAAAGAGCTCGTTGCGCGCTCTGATGTGGCGTTCGCACCCGGCAGCACTTCGGCAAGGGGTGTTGCGTATTCATTGACGACAGCGGCAACAACGCCAACAACAGGGGCAGCAACAGCGAAGAAAGTTGTTGAAACCTATCCATGCACTTAACATGACCGTCAAGCCGCAACCGCGGTGACCAGACAAGCACACACAAATCCGCCCGCCGCTCACCACCCGCAATCCCCGCCTGTTTCAAAACGGCCACCACCACGAGCCCGGCGGCCTGAAGGTGCGCAGCTCTCCTCGGACCTCGGACAGCCGCTGCTTAACCTCGGACGTGCGAGGCAGCTGCTGTAGCTGCTGGAGCTCGTCCTCAAGCTCCGCCTGCGTGGTGGTGTGTTTGTGAGTATGTGTGCATGAGTCTGGGATCGCGTGTGTAGGTGTGGGGGTGCGCGCGCGCGTGCACGTGCGCGCGCGCGCGCGCGCGCGTGTGTGTGTGTGTGTGTGTGTGTGTGTGTGTGTGTGTGTGTGTGTGCGCGCGCGCATTTGTGGGGGCGGTGCGCATGCACGCGTGCACAGCAAGTATGCAAGGGTATGAGTGGTCAAAGACGCAAGTCTGTTGCACCCTGCTGCTTCACAACCGCACAGGCTGCAAAGCAGCCCCATGACACCTGCCCGAGTATCGAGACACTCGCGACTGCGCGTGCGTCCCCGTTCAGCTGCTGCATTTCGTCCCTCCTAGTCACTTCCGTGTGCACGTGTCACAATCATCAAACCCATGCAATATCAACAAGATGCCAGCCGCAAGCCCGGCGAGGCCCGATTTATCTGATCCAGCAGGTGGGGCACGCGGGCGCGGCGCACCTTGCGCTCAGCTATGAGCTCAGCCAGCGACTTTGGCTTTTGCGGGGGCGTCGCCACCGCCGCCGGCGCCGCCGCAGCCGGCGCGCGCATGCCGTCTGCGGCGTTGACAATCCAGGCGCCCAGCCAGATCATGCTGACGAGGCCGGCGGCGGCGACGCCTGAGGCAACGATGGTTGACCAGATCAGGTTCGAGGTCGTGAAGACCATGGACGGCAGCGCCTTTTCCAATTCCTCTGGCGTCAGCTGCTCGGCGGTCTTTGGGCGAGGAGGGGGCTTCGGGACTGCCGCGGCGGCGGGGTTTGCCGTCGCCGCGGTCGCTGCAATGGTGGGGGAAGGGGGCGGCGACCAGCAGGCGTGTAAGCGGCCGCTTTGGGTGAGCGGAGCTCCGCAATGCAGCACGGCGGCGTGCATTGTCGCGTTTCGGGCCCCTCACCAGAGCTGCCGCTGAGGCCGCTTGTGCTGCTGCCACCGCTACCGGCCGTTGCTTCAGAGAATTGCCTGCATTGTGCTGCGGCGCCGCGAGTGACGCTGCTGCCGAGTCGCCGCAGCATTGTACCAGGCTACTGCAGGGGGCTGAGTTGCGCTACCGAAACCACCACGAAGGATAAGCGACCCGTTGCCCCGAGCTTGATGTGATGGGGACAGGTACCGTACACAGATCGAGCAGTGACTGTGCGACACAGCAACGGCAGGTACCGCAAGACGGATTAATCAATTATTACGGATCAAAAAACGGATCAACCAGGGGCTTCATACGAGGGATATGATCGTATTCCTAGCAAGCGCGGCACCGATCTGATCCTGGCAAACGCGATCGCAGCTTGCGCGGCCTATCAAAGATGGGCAAGAAATGGCTGCCTTTGGAAAGCAATCCCGAGGTGCTTGGGCAGGGCCAGCCAGCTTATCAATGGCATGGCCCGCTCGCCGCTCAGTGCGCCGCGCCTGCCGTGGCCTTCACGTGCACTTTGCATGCTGTCTCGCCGCGCACAACATTCAATTCTAACCAGCACTTACTTCCCATCAGTACTGGTTTCTGTGACGACTTGGCCCCCCTGCTTCGTGCTGACTGCCTGGCCCCCTCCCTGCCTCGCTGCTTCCGCTGCCACGCGTCCGCCGCCGTCTGCATGCGCTCACTGCCACCTTCGCATCCCTTACCGCCCAGGTGATGACGGAGTTTGCTGAGCGCATAGGGCTGGACACCACCAAACACGCCTTCTTTGATGTATATGGCTTGGACGAGGTGCTTGGGCGAGCGCAGGAGCGAGGGCAAAAGCGTCGGCGACAAGCCCCTGTGCATGGTTTTTTTTGTCGGCATGGCAGTTGGGGGATAACCCACAGTCAGCCGCTACCCCGCAGCGAGGCCGGGCCCGCTGTGCCTGTGCAGATCGCTGCCGCCCAACAAGCGCCTGTCGCCCCACCGACACAAACGAAACGACGCCGGGCAGGAGCTATTGGCGATGGTGCCGCAGCCGGTGGTGGCAGTGCTGCTGCTGTTCCCTATCACCAAGGCCACTGACGCGGCCGCAAAAGAGGGTGCGCCGCAGACGCCGGTCGGGCCCCCTTGTGGTGTGAAGGGCGCCAAGGCTTTGGCCCCCGGCTGGCTTGATGCTGAGGGGTCCACAAGTCGACCAATCCGAGTCAGCTTGCCCCAAGTCGACTCATGTGTACCACAACCACACTGCTGCGAACAGATGCTGCGTTGTTGAACAAATTCACCCCCAAAGCGCGAAGCCTGGCCCGTCACTGGGCCGACTGGTGATGTGCCACCTTCCAAGAGAGGCCACACACGTTTGACCACCAGCAACCTCCCGCCTGAGGCAACTGCGCCTTGCCTCGCCCTTTACAGACGACGAGCGGCTTGCGGCGGCCGGCGCGGGTGCTGGGGACCTGGATGGCGTCTATTACATGAAGCAGACTATTGGCAACGCATGCGGCACGATCGCCATGCTGCACAGCTTCGGGAACAACCTTGGGACCATCAAGCTCGGTGCGTGTGCGTGCGGCATGGGTGCGCATGCGCACGCCGGGATCATGTGGATGTGCGGGTGTGCGACTCGACGCCTGTGTCTGCTGATAGTGTATCACATCAGCCAGGGGCTGCTACGTGTTGAGCCCGCACCCCACTGGGGTCCGGGGCCGGCCAGCAGCATCCGCAGCCGCCTGGGAGCCACAACCCAAGAATGGTCCGCCCCACCCCGCCCCACGTGCCGTCCAATTG